ATATTATCATGAAAAGGAAAAAAAGAAATTAGCTTTCAGTAGTGACTGAGAACTATCACGTTTCCGTCAATTAAAATTGCTGCAGAAATTGAATAATGATTTCAAGGTAACTTCAATTGTAGTCAGGTTAGAAGACTACATCATATCACTATTGTTGGTTGTTAGCCATCTCAGAAACACACATGGACAAGCTAACAAGGGCATTCTATAGTAGTATATTGTCATGGAAATTTATAATTTAAAATTTTCCATACATCATATATGTAGATACATTTCATCCATAAATTAATTAACCTATAAGAAACATAAAAATCACTGAGACTTTGGATGTATCTGTAGAACACTAATTCAAAATCAGAAAGCTAACAGTTCTGAGTCCATACATGTCACCATCATTTGATATGCCAAAGAAGCCGTGTAGATGATATATGCGTTCTAAAATTCCCAACATTAGGGTAAACAAGTCCAGATTGACTAGATGGACTGAGATAATCCAAGTTAACCCAACTACAATCAAACTAGAGTGGCAACTAAACTCAATCCAAATTAAGTAAATCAAATCCAATTAAAGCATGTCCAAACAGACCAGAATCCATCACAAACACCAGTTTTGATACTAGCAAAAACTGCAAATTATCTAGGAATCTACTGCCTTATTTGCAGCTAAACCACATTGGTGTGGCGGCCAGTGATATCTATGCACGGTCAAGTTTTTGTTTGAAAGGAGGATACTTCCAATCTAACCAAGGATTGCCATGTTGCTCAGTTTCGGACCGGTGTGCTATGCATAAAGGTATAGGTATGCACCATGCTGAGTCATGCTAACTGTTTCGGCACATACTTATGTTTAGACCCATGACCAAAAAAACATGGTTCCATGCCATTCCAGGAAGGCATCTGCGTGCCCCTTGAGAAAATACTATTTAGTCTAGTAATAATCTAACCCAACCATGTGATGAACGTACAGATGCAGTGTGAAGCCTTTCTGATGGTAAAAGCTTAACATTTAAATCTCCAAAAGAATTAATTTCAAATTTAAAAAATTGCTAGAATTTTTGTATGAGAATGCAAACTAATACCTTGGGTGTAACAATACAATGTGACCGAGTTTTGGCAGTGTCAAAAGGGTGAGAAGCAGCGGCAGCTACTATTCCAGAAAACCCAGCAGCAAGACTTGAAGCCAGAGGGGAGACAGGGCCAACATCATCTATCGACCTAAATAAAATAAAACAGACAATTAGATGAACCAGCATTATGATTGTTCCATAGATAATTTTCTAATTAAAGCTTTCAAAACAAAAGCACACATTAGATCCAAAAATTCAATAGAACTTTGAAGATGAATACTGAGTGCTAAATTCTGCAATAATTATATTTTACAAGCTGGCTTTGCCCCTCTTAACAGACAATTCAATAGAACATTTTATATCCTAAAACTACCTCCAACGTAGGCCAGATCCAAATCCAGCAGTCAAAAAGGTGAAATGAGAGTATTCCATCTCCTACTGAAAAGAGAAAAGCCCACCTATCAGGCTACGGTATGGTTTTATCATGCAGCCGAACAATTTATTGAGGAATAGCACATTCAAAATCACACCAGTTAGGTTCAGTTTTCTAATCTATATAAGATGATATTCTTAATACAAAGGCACAACATTTCGTGTGCAGTAAATAACGAAAAGGCATTTATATTTACAACTATTTTAATTTTTTTTATCCCAAGAGATACCCTATCGAGGATGATGATTTTAGCTCAAAACAGTAGGTTTTATTGGAGCCCATATTCAAGATGTGAATTACTAATTATGCAAGTTCCAAGACAATCTTGCCTAATCAAAGGGTTAAATAATGGTTCTTTTTTAAAACAAGATATATAAGTAACTTCATTGCTGAAGGAACTAAAAAACTGAAAACCGATTAAGGGAAAGAACAGGGAGCATAACCAATTTGATCAACTTGTCCACATTCTCTGGAATATTAAGTAGTTTTTTCACTCCAATTTAATTGGATTGAAACAATGTAGAACAGGAATTCTATCATATTTTAAATGGTCAGCTCTCCTTATCAAACTTGATTTCCTGGAGGTCTAGCTTAGCCCATGACAACCAACATACTTTTTTATTAGATGAAAGTGCTCTTGACCGACCAAACTAGCCTGTCCAATATCCAGGGTAGATCCTACTTTGGAATAAATCATCAACAGGTCTGGTCATTTCTAGTCACATGTACGTGATCCTGATAGTAAATTTTAAGCTTGATTTGGATCCAAATCAATTGCAACCTATAACCCAGATCTGGAAACCCATCGACAGTTGACCTAAAATTAAAAAAGCTACAAGTCTGTGCTCAAAGCCTCATTCATTTGTTCACATGAAGTTACCCTCAAAATCACAACATAAGCCAATAAACATCCTACTTGGCATAGAAAAACCTAGTAATAATTACATAAGATATTTTAGTACAGTTGAAGCATATACTTTTTAACTTATATTTGTCAATCTGTATGCACACTGTAGTGTACTTCAATCAATAAAACACAGTGACTTATAAAAAAAGAGACTCGGATATAATTCTTATATATCTGAGAGTATTTCTTAGTTCATGATTAAAAGCAGATGCAGGAAACTAATATTTTTGAGAAGAATACTAATTAAATATAATGTAAATTCTGATAAGAACCTGGGTGGTGGATTCAAATCGAGAGCTTTCCAGTCAAGCATTGCTATGTGAAAGAATTGCCAGGTAGAAAAGAAAAAACCACCAAAAACACATTTTTGAGCTATTCCAGGTCGAAGTCCTCTCCATAAAGCACTCCATCCCTCCAATGATACAATTTTAGAAGGTTCTTTGACCTCAGAAGCAAATGGAGGCCTCCCAGAACCAGTCAGCATCCACGGATACTGCTTCAGCACACCAACAATGTCGATATGACTGGTCGAAAGAGTAGACAACATACCAAGAGTATTATTCCATGCCTTCATATTAGGAGTGGAACCAGGTAGTAATTTTGAAATAAGTGGAGTTGATTCTTGCATAACCCCAACAGAACCAAGTTTCCTAAGGAGAGAAGCAGAGGAGACCTGACTGCGAATTTTAAGAAGTTCAAATGGGGTACAAATAACAGCTTCCATGGCACCTGCTGCCATGCCTGCCAAAAAAGCCTCAGAAACATGCACATAGTTGTATGTTCTTCCATCTACCAAATACAACAAACACAGCATAAGAGTATTTAACAAGAAGAAAGAATATGGAGCTCACATGAACATACCATGACTACAGCATTACATAATTAGTATTCCCTCACATGTTTTATGAGGTGATCCCACACACACAAACTAACAAATACACAAATAATGCTCCATGACCTGCAGCATGTTGTGCTGCAATATTCCAGTCAATGTTTCAAAAGCATATTGGACAAAAACATGGTCAAAGGCTAGATCTATCCTAGCTCTCTGACTAGTATGTCTGGCAGATCTTAGCCATGACAAATTCAATGTTCCTAGAAGTAGTCTAGCTTCATCCATGAAACATGAAAGCTTGAAACAAGAAAGGAAGGAAAAGAAACCTATAAATAAGTAAAGCAAGCAACAGATAGAAGGAATTTCCCCAAAGGCTCAAATTAAGTTTTCTGATATGTCCTTTAACAAAAACACCAACCAATATTCATAACAAGAGAGAGAGAGAGAGAGAGAGAGAGAGAGAGAGAGAGAGAGAGAGAGAGAGAGAGAGTTTATTGAAGGAAAGGAAAGAGACTGTGAGAGCAAAGAATTGTCACTGATTTAGAATGGGAAAAAAAAGAGAGATGCAATAAAGAGAAAAATCTGCACCTGAAACTCATATTAATTTAATTCTGATATGCTTACCAAAAAAACCTACAATTAGGATTCATATTAAAAGCTTCAGAGCTGGAGTTAAAATTGTACTTCAAAAAAGTTTATGAAGTTATGGAATATTATCTTCTTTGCACTTCATTTTTATTTTTCCACATGAGAGAGATTGATGTAGGCACATATGAGGTTCTTGCCCAGACTCATTGAAGATTCAGATAGCTTGGTCTGTGCCTAGTGCTTAAAGCTTATTTCAATTAGTACAAGATGGACAAGACACTGAAAACAAATCACATCTCATGTTATTCAAGTGTGTATGTGTAAGTTGCACTAATGGTTTTCTTATTGACGCTTAAGAAAGATACCTTTGTAGTAAGCAGTTAATATCTCATAGGTTCCAAAACGTGATCCGAAACCAAAAAGCTTACCAAGTACCGACCATCCAAGGCCACTGTAAAAACCTAAAAGAAAAATAATAGGAATGAGAAAAGAAACCAAAATCAACAAAATAAAGAAAATATACCATTCAGAAAAATCTAGTAAAAAAGATTTCTTAAAACATAACTAAAGCAACTACAGTTATAATCTAGTTTTATTAATCTGTAATTTGTTGTAACATTATAATTATAAAATAAACATTTTAGATATTAAAAACAAATTATTTGAGTTATATAGTTCAACTTCTTGCTCTTCTTTAATACTGCTAGTTCTACCACCACTATAAACTCTGATTCATATCTATATTCAATCAGCAATTATCTGTAAACTTACTCCTTAGATAATACCCATGACAGAGAATGAAACCAGATCGAGCTTCATAACTTTTTAAGAGCTATAAGTAGTGTAACCAATTGTTTAACAATCTTGTTTTGTACACGCAAGAGCAAGGACGTTCATGTTTCTAGAAACTGAAACTACTGCAGATGCAGTACAGGAAAAGCCTGGGATTACGGCAAGGTTGTGCACATTAAACATCCGCTAAAGCTGAATTGGTGGTAGCCTTGTTATTTGGGCTACCCACTATAGATATCCACGGATAAAAGAGATTTGATTTTAAAACCTCATCATATTTACTAAAAATATTGATGGAACCATGCCATACAACCAATTCTGTGACAATTATGACTAAGTCAAGAAGCTCAAGGCATAGAAACTAGGTTTTAAGGTAGTAACAAGGTTCAACAAAACAAGAGTACCAATCTGATGTGGGCAAACCAGATATGTCACACGGTCCAATTACCTAGTCAGAAACAAAGTAAATCTTCAACAACTTCACAGAATACTTTTTCGATACTCGTATAACTTAGCCATCGCAATAATCACATCAACTCATATTGGTAAACATACACTCAATAGACCTATTGAACAACAGATCCCAATTCAAGCCATCCCGTTTCCGTCTTTCTTGACAAACAACTCAAATGCCACAGAAAGAAATTGAAAAAGGATGCAACTTAGAACAAGCAATACCTGACAATCCTGAAACCATCCGAACCCTCTCGACCACCTGCCAAAGACCCACCTGTTGGCTTGACCCCGCACCAACCTGTTCATGCGCGAAATCTCGACGACTCATCATCGATCGAAAACAAAACCAGATATCAATACCTAACAAATCTATAGTAACATCACATCGATACGCAATAAAAGGGCAGGGATGGAGATGATACACATCCAATTTACCTGGAGGAGGGTTTTGAGGGTGTCGAGGGGATGGGTGAGGAACGCGGCACCGGCGACAGAGCCGGCCGCCGCCGCGGCGTGGCCGGCGAACAAGTTCTCTGTGAGGAGATCGAAGCCCATTTGATCAAATGCTGATCTACCGCCCCATCTCATCTCCGGAATCTGACGCCAGGGTTTTGACAGCTCGAGATTGGGGTTTACAACCGTTCGGCTGCGAGAGGTCTTAGGTCACCATTGGCCGTTGGATAAATGCTTTATGAGTTGTGCTTGAAGTAATAATTTATGCAGGCATTCATTTTACCCGCTTCATTGCGCGTGAAAGCAGAATGGGGCCGATGTGATGTAAGTCCCGGGTGTTGCCGTGGACGATTTCGATCTCAAATTACGTAGTAAGTCGTGTTATCCATAATTACTTAAATAGCTTATATATATATATATATATATATATATATAGCCTTCGTATTCCATATAGTTTGGGCTCAAAGGATTTGTAGATATGAGAAATTGTCGAATCATGGCACACTGGATCAAATTAATTAGCTTCATAGGATTTGGCCAATTCCCAAACCAAACCCAGATGCACATTTGCAAGTGACGAGAAGAAATTGCTTCGTGAACTAATATTGCTACGGAAGCCCGAAGGAACATGTCGAAAGGCAGCACAGAAGTGGTGTCAAGAGCGTGCTGAGCCCAACAAGGTAGCCCCGTGCATGGAAGCCCACACGCCGAGCGTAACGACATCACGATAAGAACATGCTACAGAAGCGGCTTCAGCCACCTCTAGACACCTCTCCCCGACGTGCCACGCCTCGCTGCGACCTTCTTCCCACGTGTCCCCTCGCCTCGCCCGCCCCTTCACTTGTTATAACCCCTCCCCTCCTCCGGAACGGTTTCATCTCCGTTTCCTCCCGCGGTTGTCCATGAGAAGCCTCGCTGTGCAAGAAGGTTAAGAGAAAGAAGTAGGGTTGAGCGGGAACAGGTCGCGCCGCAGCCATGCCGCCCCGCAGGTTCGCCTTCGGCCGCACCGACGATGCCGTCCACCCGGATACCATGCGTGCCGCTCTCTCGGAGTTCATCGCCACCGCTCTCTTCGTCTTCGCCGCCGAGGGCTCCATTCTCTCTCTCGGTGAGTATGACTGTAGGCTTGGCTGCATGTGGACACCGAACGAGGCATGGATTCATGCATGCACGTTGTTGGTTGCAGGAAAGCTCTACAAGGACACCTCCACCGCAGGGGGGCTGGTGGTGGTGGCTATAGCCCACGCGCTAGCTTTGGCTGTAGCCGTGGCCATCGCCTTTAACATATCGGGTGGCCACGTCAATCCTGCGGTCACGCTCGGCGCTCTCGTCGGCGGCCGGATCTCCCTTGTGCGGGCGGTATTCTACTGGGTGGCGCAGCTACTCGGCGCCGTCGTAGCCGCCCTCCTCCTCAGGCTCGCGACCGGTGGCATGGTAACGATCCTTGGTCGTTCACATGCAGCGTGCCATTTATGTTGTAGATGGTGAAGTTGGTGGGTTTTCCTGTGACATGCAGAGGCCGGTTGGATTCTCGGTGGCGTCGGGCGTCAGTGATTGGCACGCCGTCCTGCTGGAGATAGTGATGACGTTCGGGCTGGTCTACACCGTCTACGCGACTGCGATCGACCCCAAGAGGGGGCACCTCGGCACCATCGCGCCTCTGGCCATTGGCTTCATCCTGGGCGCCAACATCCTTGCCGGGGGACCGTTCGACGGCGCGGCAATGAACCCGGCGAGGGCCTTCGGACCGGCACTTATCGGGTGGAGGTGGAAGCACCACTGGGTGTACTGGGTTGGCCCCTTCATAGGTGCAGCACTTGCAGGCGTTATGTATGAGTTCCTTATGATCCCAGCTGAGGCTCCTCGCACTCACCAGCCTTTGGCTCCTGAGGACTATTAGCCTCTCTCTCTCGCTCTCTCTCTCTCTCTCTCTCTCTCTCGTTGTGGGGTGTCTTTTTAGTACAGTATTTATCATCTTAAGGTAGGAATAACTGCTATAGTTAATAAATGTTAAACTGGCTTCCATATATGTATGTCTATATGCAATGCTTAGGCTGGAAATTTGGATGCTTATTTGTAACTTTCTAATCAGTGGAGCGAGTAGTATAAGCTGCCTGTTTCTCTGCAGTCCCTCCATTTTTCCTTCGAGCTCTCCATGCTTTCTATATAATTCAGATTATAGTGATTGGCTTATGGGGGAGAAACCATTTTGGCTGAAAATTATAATGTATATGGCGTCTCCGTTTCATAGATTGTACGATCCTCTCTCGATTTATAAAAAAAATTAAATTATTTCACCGTACTCATATTATTAGGTTTTAGTGTCATCTCTCTCTCTTTTTTTTTTTGTTTATCCGATTTGAAATCTGATCTTAATTTTGATTTTATTATTTAATAATTGAAATCGAATTATATTGCTCTGGTGATCCGATTTAAGTTGGGGTTATCACAGCGATTAGGTTTTATTTTGATTTGAATATAACTGTAATCATTTTGCTTGTATTCAGATATAATAAATTGATTCAAAAATATAATAAATTCATTCAAAATAAAAAATATGATAAATCGAGTCGAACCAAACTGTGGTCATCTGGTGCGTCTTATATTTGGATCAACACCCCAATTCATATTAATTGAAGTTTTTTTTAACTTTTTTTCCAATGTATATTTGGATCAACATCCCAATTCATATTAATTGGAGATTTTTTAACCATCTTTCCAATGTGAAGGAGCTATCAACACCCCGATTCATATTAATTGGAGATTTTTTAACTATTTTTCCAATGTATATTTGGATCAACACTCCCAATTCATATTAATTGGAGATTTTTAACCATCTTTCCAATGTGACGGAGCTAAGACGGCCGCGTGTGCTGAGACACATCAAATTTTAAATCCGTAAGCCAATTTGCTTTTGTGTTAAAAAAAAAACATTTGCATACAAACCTAAATCATCAAATTTTAAATCCATAAGCCAATTAAAATATTTACTTTGTGTTAAAAAAAAGAGAAAACATTTGTATACAAACCTACATCAAATTTTAAATTCGTAAGCCAATTAAAATATTTACTTTTGTGTTAAAAAAAAAGAAAAAACATTTGTATACAAACCTACTTGGTGTCCCAGTCTACGTGGTGAGCTCAGGTTAGTCAACAGAATGTTCAATTGCACCTCACCTCATTCTATCACTGAAATATAGTGATACATATCCAATATTGTATAAAAGTTTAGATTCAGAGTCATCCTCCTAGTAAACTGATGGCAAATCCAGAGTTATCATCTTAGTAATTGCTGGTAATGCATTTCACCAGAATTATCACTAAAATCCACACACACACACTATACATATATACCCACATGCTACTTCTCTTATTGTGTATAAATAGTAAGTTTCTATTCACATCAACTTCATTAAAATTTAAAATTATATTATAGTTAATATCAATTTTGTTATACTAGATACGAGGAACTTAAATATATTCTGATAACTAAGTAACATAGATGATTTTATCTCAATGAAATGTATAAAGGTACTATTATTTCATTAGAATATCAAGTTATTATGTGATTTTGAGTGATAAATATTATATTAATATTATATTTTGATTATTTGATCAAATTGCTTTATGATTTGATCAATTTAAAAGAGTTTATATTTAATCATTTAAAAAATTATCAAATACAAAATATTTTAAATTTATCAATGATGTCAATTGAGATGGTAAACATCTTGAACATTGGTAACATATTCTTGAAATCTAATCAATACTACTTATTTTTATAAAAAAAAATAGATTACTTGCTGTTGTCCTTAAAATTCTTAAGAATTTTTTTAATATTCTTATATTAGTAGATTTATTCATGACTACGAGTACGTTAAAACCAATAGATTTTTCAATAAATTTGGAAGGTCATATCATTTAATTTCTTTGAAGAATATTTTATGTATTATTTAATAATATTTATTTATAAAAGATAAATCTCCTTTGTATTTCTATTGCCATAGCTTCATCGATTATGAGATATATACCATTTATATATTTTTTATTTTAATAATTATATTTTATATTTATGTTTATATTTTTTTATTTTTATACTAATATTTTTATTTCTATTAGGTGCATACAAGATATACCTTGTTAGAGCTCAAAAAGAATTATACAACTTAAAATTTAATTATACTAAGAATTATTCATATATTAACAATTTAATCTTCAGTTGTCAAATGCAATCACCAACACTTTTTATCAAGATTATACAAAGAATATAAGGTAATTTATTATTTAAAATATTAAATTATTTTATAAGAATTAAAATATAAGACAACTAATTATTATATAAATGTTATAAGAAACAAAACATGTATTGCTTACTTATATTTCTACTAAGTTTTGCTTGGGTATCAGTTTGGTTGCTTTTTTCAAGAGAAATAGGATAAGGTCTCTAAGCCTTAATCATATTTGACATATTAGCATTTAAAAAATAGTAAATTTCTATTCACATCAACTTCATTATAATAAAATATTATATTAATATTAATATCCATTTTGTTATATTAGATGTAATACACTTAAATGTATTCTTAAGACTAACATAAAGTAATGTGGATAATATTAGTTTTAGAAGGTATAAAGGATGAAGTGCCTTTAGAAGGTATAAATGTACTATTATTTCATTATAAGATCTAAGTGATTTTATGGTTTTAAGTGATAAATTTTATATCAATGAAATATTTCTATTATTCGATCAAATTACTTTATGATTTGATCGATTCAAAAGATTTAATCGATATTACTTACTTTTATTTAAGAAAAAAGATTGCTTACTAGTGTCCTCAAATTTCTTGTCTTGAAAAGTTACAAAGAAAATCAAATGATAATAAAGGAAATAAGAGACTTGAGAATCATTCCTCTATAGTATAGTTTTAAAATAATAAAATATTAAATTGGTATAAAAATTGGTATATAATACAACTCATTGTTTTATAAATGTTATAAGAAATAAAGCATGTATTGATGACTCATTTGGTGGATTTTTGTAAAAAAAGTAGGGTGTAGTCTCCGAACCTTACCCATATTTAGCATATTAGCATTTTCTAAAATGGTAAGTTTCTATTCATGTAAACTTCATTATAATATAAAGTTATTGATAGAAATGAAATACAAAGAAAAAGAATGTATTTTACATTGAAATAATACAATACAATACTCCCTATTTATACATGTTAGAAGAGAGAATTTTCTTGGCTATTGTTGAGGTTGTTATCACGGGAGATCTTGATTGTTATCTTGATTGTTGTTGCGGGTGAGAGGCTTTGTGAGAGAGTCCGCTAGTTGATCAACTGTATGTACGTGAGAAACACGTAGTTGATGTCTGACAACTTGTTCTCGCACGAAGTGAAAGTCGATGGCTATGTGTTTCATGTGTGAGTGAAATACTGGATTAGCGCATAGATAAGTGGCTTCGACATTGTCACAATATATTGTAGGAGTAGAGGCGATGTTGATGCCAAATTCCTTGAGGAGATTCATGACCCAATTGAGTTCTACAATAGCGATGGCTATGGCATAATATTCAGCTTCAGTTGTAGAACGTGCAACTATCTTTTGCTTCTTAGAACTCTAACTGATTGTATTAGATCCAAGGAAGAGAATATACCCCGACGTGGATATTCTTTCATCAAAATTTTTTGCCCAATCAGCATCGGCAAAGGCATGGAGATTAAAGGGGGAGTGTTTATGGAAAAAGAGGCCATGATTGATAGTCCCATGAAGATACCGCAAGATTCGTTTGACTGCATATCAATGCATAGTAGATAGTCGATGCATGAACTGGGATAATTTATTGACCGCAAATGAGATATCTGGACGGGTGAGAGATAAGTACTGTAAGAAGCCAAGGACTTGACGGTATTGAGTTGGGTTTGTAGTAGGGCTTCCATCACAAAGTTTGAGCGACTTGCCAGTAGATAGAGGTGTTGTAACTGCCTTTGCATCTTGCATGTTCGTTTTAGTTAATAGATCTTGAATATACTTTCGATGTGATAGGAAGAGCCTAGAAGATGTGTATGTTGCTTCTACTCCTAAAAAATAGCTCAAGGTTCCTGGATCTTTAAGAGAGAATCGATCTGCTAAATGCTTGAGGAATGCCTTGATTTCTATAGGATTGTTACTTATGACAATAATATCATCCACATATACCAGAAGATATATTATATTGCCACTTTGGTGACGGAGAAATAAGGAGGTATCAGACTTAGAGTTGAGAAAGCCAAATGATGCAAAAAACGAGCTAAGTTCGGTGTACCAAGCTCTTGGAGCCTGACGAAGTCCATAAATAGCTTTTTGTAGTCTACAAACATGCTTTGGATATTGAGGGTGAATGAAGCCAGGAGGCTGCTGCATGAAGACATCGTCAGTTAGGGTCCCCTGTAGAAAGACATTGTTAATGTCGAGTTGACGTAAATGCCAACCTTGGGAGATGGCCAAACTTAGAATAAGTCGGATTGTTGTGGGTTTAACAACAGGGCTGAATGTCTTTATGAAGTCAAACATCAGGTCGTTGATGAACCCTTTGACCACTAGACGCGCTTTATATCTGGCTACGGATCTATCTGGGTTCTGCTTAATTCGAAAGACCCACTTACACCCGATGATATTTTGTGTGGGATGAGAGGGTGCATGGGTAAATGTAGAATTATGGAGGAGTGCATCATATTCTTCACACATGGCTTTACGCTAATATGGAGATTTTTGGGTTTGAGTAATTGTGGTAGGTTCAATGGTCTCTAACGAGGATGTTGTGATGGCATGTAGGTTAAGGATTTGTCATGGTTTAAAGACACCACTTTTGGATCGTGTTGTCATTGGATGTCCAGGGGCTATAGGGTGTGTTATAGGTATGAG